AGAGAGAGAGAGAGAGAGAGAGAGAGAGAGACCTGGCAAAGAGCACCAAGCTGAAGCTGTACCTCCTGGGGACCCTGACAATCTGGGGCACTCTGGCAGCATCTTGGGGCCCACTGATTCATCAGGTGGGTGGAGTTTGGCCACCTAAGCTTGGGCCCCTAGCCAAGTGCCACACTTCCCTTTCCACAAGCACCCTGGGGAAGGTGGGTAGGGATGCGGGCACTTCTGGGGCCATCTGCAGCTGGCACCTTCTTGTTCAGATTCCCTGACTACCTTCAGGGCTCCTGACCACAGAGGCCAGGCCACATATCAGGTGGGTGGTGGGTAGGCTGCCTCACACCTCATTTACTGGAAATTTGCCAGGTGAGAAGACTACATGTATATGCATGTCGAAGGCTCCAAACCTGACATCCCAGGGGTGGTAGCCAGCTCCCAGCTCCATCTAAAACTGCAGCAGGGGATCCGCTCTGAGGAATCCTGACACTACACTGGCTTAGAAGGGAGACTTGGTAGCTCAGCTGACTCTGGACCGGACTGGGTACCACAGAAGAATGTCCCTCTGCTTGTTCCTTTACCACTCACCCTCCTCCCACCCTGACCCAGAGCTGGGGCTGGGGGGTTCCAAAGAATTCAGCAGTCAGCCCCACCCACCACCTCTACCCCAGAGAGCTTGGAGACTAGGGGGCAGGCAAAGGCATGGTGCAGGTGGGCACCTGAGATCTGTTTTAACTGTCACTCTGGCGAGCCTGGGATGTGAATGTGGGAAGGGGACGGTGTGCCAGGGCCGTTGTTGCAAGTGGGCCACCTCTGTGCCCCATCTCAGCAGACACTTCAAGCCCACCCAGAGAGGAACGGCTGGGTTGGAGCCGATCTGCCTTCTCGGTGGGGTGGGTTTTGACACTCCCTTTGGTGAGAGGGTGGCAGGAAGGGAGTGAGGAGCCAAGCCTGGGGCTTTCTCACCATGGGCCTCAACCTGCTTCCCATCTGGCACCCTCCGTGCAGCTGACTCCTTCACGCCCACTCTCGGCCCTACTCCAGGCTGAGGCTTCCCCACCGCAGGTCCTTTGAGCTCAGCAGCCAGTAGGCTGAAGGATGGGCAGCTCAGGGCTTGTGGCCTGGCTCTGCCTGCTATAGGGCAGCCTACTATGGTCCGGGTGAGGGCAGGTGTAACAACGACCCCTGAGAATACAGGCAGAACAGGCAGAATCAAGTCTGTCTTCAGGGAGGCAGGACGGAGCCGTGGAAGCTGACACAGGCCACCAGCCTCAGGGCCGCTGCACACCCCAACTCCAAAGCCCCTCCACGTACTCCGGTGATCGTGTGTACTTTCTGGTCTGGCATGTGATCCTACTGTGGTACAGTGACCACACTGACCAGTCAGTGCTGGAGGGGACTGGGCAACCACTAGCCCAAGCTGGATTGTGCCTGCTGCATCCTGCTGGGGGTTCTCACAACTGATACCTTTGGGGTCTGGTGTTCTACCTGAGGCTGTTGAGGGAGGTTTCCACAGTTCTAGAGAGCAGGCCCTCAGGTTGGTGACTGGCTATAGAAAGAGGCCAGAGGCCTGAGTCTTCATGGTGCCCAGCTGCCTCACTGCTGGTTCTTCTGCTGTTCCTGGGAGCCTGGCTCAGGGCCTCTGCGCTGGTGCTCAGGAGGCCTGCCTTGATCTGCAGGTGCTCCTGGGCCTCCTTCAGGGCATGCCTTTGGCTTCCACTCCTTCTGGCTGCTGATAAAAACACCGAGAAAAGGGGAACATTGAAAATTAGAGTTAGCCAGAGCCACTTTGTTCCCCAAGAGTTCCTGGATGGCCCACTGAGGGGCAGACAGAGAGTGGTCAACTGATCGGGTCTACTCTGCTCTCAGGCTGTCCAGCTTCAACTGTGAAACTAGGGGACGTGGTCCCAGCTGCTCGCTCGGTCCCCCGGTTCTCAAGCAGCTTTTAAGCATTAGGGTGCAGCCTGAACCGCTCAACCACCGCCCAGGCCGCTGCCTCGTCTACATCCAGTAATGAGCGGAGCCAGAGGCAGGGATCAAAATTTAAGTTGCAGCTGCACTCTGTGCTTCTGCTCCCTGCTGCCCTGTGCCTCAGTTTCCTCACCTGTGAGGTGGGGTCACAGTACCCATTTCCTGGCAAGGCTGACCCAAGGCCTGCTCTAATTTATTAAATTATTTAATGTGTATGATTGCTTTGCCTGAATGTATGTAAGTGCCCCTGTGTCATACAATGCCCGTGGAGGTCAGAAGAGGTTGTTAGATTCCCCTGGAGCTGGAGTTATAGATGGTTATCAGTCACCATGTGGTTGGTGAGAACTGAACTTGGGTCCTCTGCAAGAACAGTCAGTGCTCTTAACTGCTGAGCCATCTCTAGCCACATAAGGCCTATTCTAGGAACATGGATTTGTATAAAGAGTTCACAACAGCCGTGCGTCCCTCTTTGAGACTATGCCAGTTAACCACAGTCTCATTGTACCTCAAAGCCAGAAGGACAAGAGCTCATGTGCCTGCTTTGCAGAGGTAGAGACAGAGTCTTGGGCACTGGCAGAGGAAGTAGACCAGGAAAGGCTAGGCAGCCACATTAGGAGGTTGGGCTTCAGGAGTGGGGTTTCTGCAGAGCTCTCCTCCCAGAAACCTCTCCTATGTCACCTGCCAGGCCGTGCTCCACACTGTGGTCCCAGGCTATGGCTCTGCACCAAGAAGAGGCTGGGCCCACAGACAGCTCCCTGTGGGCACCCTCCACATGCTTACCTCTCCCCCACTGATGCAGGTGACCCGGGTTGTCCTAGAGTCCTACGGATATATTCTCGAGAGCGGATGTCAGCCTGGAAGAGACAGAGAAAGCTGAGGCTAGGGCCTGGGCACGTCCTCCCAACCCCCAGCAGTCAGAAGCACTTCCATGCCCCTCCCCAGAAGCCCGAGGCAGGCCCATCATGTCCTTTGGGAGCATGAGCCCCACTGGCGGGTGGTTGATGGGGCTGAGGTCCTGCAGTGGCAAGTCCTAGAAGGGCCCACACAGCTGGGAGCAGGCTGGGTGGGGCCTAGGGCTCCTCCCAGATTCGGCTGAGTGCCTGACACTGAGCCCAGAACTCCTGCTTCTCAGGCACTGCTCAACATGTCCTCTGACAACTTATAGCCCAGCCTGTCATCTTTGGGGTTCACTATTCCCCAATAGGTGTCAGCTATGACATAGATTCATTTCCAGAAAGTTTGGTAGTTACCAGAATCAGAGGACTACGGGCCACAGGCAAGGACATGAAATAGATGCAGGCCTGAGTGGACACCGGCTCCCCCAATTCCCTGGAGGACCTGGCCTCAGAAAGCCCCCGATTCCAGCTCACATGGGTTTAGCTTAGCTTTGTAGCCACATGACACACAGATAGCAACAGCTAATTCTGCAGACAGTACCTCTTCAGCTCAGGGGAGGTGGGCTGTGGGCAATGGGATGTTCTCACGATCAGGACCCCACCAACCAGGAGAGCCTGGAATTGGCACAAGAAGGGCAGTGAGGCCTGTGACCGAGGGCCCTACTGGGTTGTGCCAGAGCCTGGGTCTATGCCAGAGGAGACAGGAGGGAGACCTCAGAGATCCCAGAGACCAGCTGTGGGGTACAAATAGGCACTGACCCCTCTCACCTTCTTGGAGAACTTTGGGGAGGAGGAGTTGTCAGGAGGGAGCTCTGCTGAGGGGCCAGTGGGAAGAAAACAGGCCAAGAGCTACAACCAGTCCTGCTGGGCCAGATCGTCCTTTATTCCCTTCCTCCCTGCCAGCCTGGGTGCCCAGGGCAGATGACCGTGTGCTTGCTCTGTTTGTGCCCAGGATCTGCCAGGCTCTTCTCTAGGGCTGGGTACATGATCTGGCCCTATTTCTAGGTAGTCAAGGTACTCCTCAAGGGGGCTGACCCCTCATCTGCTAGGACAGGAACTGTTCCTTCTGGGTAAACCATGGTCAAAGGGGCAGAGGCCTGCACAGCAGGTCAGGGACAGCATGCTGCAGAGCTGCAGGTCCTAAGGAAGGGTGGGTCTGCGGCTTTCTTTCATTAGACTGCCAAGATGGAAGAGGAGAGGCCTCCTGGGGCTAGGGACATGACTCACAGGTTTGAGTGAACCCACGTACCTGCAACCCCAGTAATGCCCTGGATGAGGCTGGGGTGAGCTAGGTTGATCGGGCCCTCCTGGGGGATGCCAACAAACCCACTCTTAGAGGCCACATCTGGGCAGTCTCTCCAACGGGGCTGAGCACCACCAGAGGTGCAGGCTGCTGCTGCCACCTGCAGGCAACCCTGTGAGTCTGCAGTGGGAAGTGCTGTCCCTCATGGCTCCCCTTGGGCTGGCCCCAGGCAGAGTCCAGCCTGTAGCCCCTGTGTTATGTGCCCATCTTCAAAAGGCTCCCGAACACACAGAGCTGTTGTCTGAAAAACTGACCCACAGGCAACTCACACAGCAGCTGCTCCAAGTCCCTTGCTGATGAGGCTTGAAATCAGGCTGAGTTCCCTGAGCCATCAAACTCCTCCCTGCTCCAGAGCCTTTGGAAATGCTATTCCTGGGCCTGGACTGCTTTTCCCTCTTCCTCCAAAGAGCGGCTTCTCCTTATCTAGGGGCCTCTGTTGTACACGCCCCACCATGTGATGAGTGACACCGCATCACAGCTGAGCACAGGAAGTGGTCTGTACATACTGGGGGCTCACTGCCCCTTTTCTGTGGGCTAAGCTGACTGGCTCCTCAGAGTGCTGGGCCTCTGGATCCTAAGTACCAGCTTAAGTGACATGTGCCTGGCAAAACCATACCCTGGTGTCCCAATTGATGTCCCTGGTCCCTGCACAGGTCTCCTCGGTGCAGCCCTACAGTGACCCTGCAAGGGCCTCTGATGGAGGGCTGCTTCCCTTGGTCCTGAGGGCTACATCTGGCTGCGGAAAGATGAGGTGCTCTGCTGCCTGAGCTGCCAGTGCCCAGTGCAGATGGCTCAGCGAGGTGAGGTGTGGACAGTGGGCCCAGGCAGCCAGGGCCATAGCAAGAATTCCTAGGTGCTGCAACCTCTGCTCTACATTCTTGCCTCCAGGGCCCAGGCAGTCCCACCAGGCTCTCCAGCCAGGGGCCTTAGTCCAGGTCAGCCTGCCCTCAGACGCCTGCAGAGACCCCGACTGAGCAGATGATTGCGAGTGGAGACTGGGTGGCAGGGAGAAGTGTATCGGCCTCCACTGCCTTCCCACACAGCCCCATACCTGGCGCACTGGCTCTGGGGCCCGGAACCTACAGCAGCGGTAGGTCAGGCGCACAGCAGCCTCCAGGCTCATTCTGTGGCCCACGGAGACGTAGAGGGGCTTGATGCAGTGGTCGTGGCTCTTCAGGGCCTATAGATGGAGGCAAGTTAAGCATGGTGGGGACCTATCCCTGGAGCAGGACCAGCCTCAGAGCTGAGGCTCTGACAATGTTCTGGGTGAGAATCCTGGCCCTGAGGCAATTTCTAGTGGCACAGGGGGTGAGTGGCTAGAGGAGGGAGGGAATACATAGCACACCTGGTTGGTGGCAGGATACATAGGGAACAGATGTGACATGCATAAGTGCATGTTTGCAGGAACACACTGTGGACTGGCCTCTTGGACCTGGATATTGGGTGGGTAGAGGTCTTGGTTCACTCACCATCCCTAGGACAGTCCCAGAGCCTCCAACCAGAGGAAATGTGTCTCCCCCAGCCTGCAGGAGCCGAATCTGCAAGAGGGAGAAAAAAATGGCAAAAAATGCCCTTTTAAAAACGTATATAAGCAGGGCTGGAGAGAAGGCTCAGTGACTAGGAGCACTGACTGCTTTTGCAGAGGATCTGGGCTCAATTCCCAGGACGCACATAGTTGCTTAACAACTGTCCATAACTTCAGTTCCAGGGGATCTGATGCCCTCTTCTGACCTCTGCGGCACTGCACGGCATGGGTGCACTTGTATGCAGGCAATACACTCATACACATAAAAAAATGTCAAAACTGTGTATATGCCAGGGATGGAGACCCATGAACTGCAGCCTGGTCTACATAGCGGGATCAAGGTTAGCTGGGGCTACAGGGAAACCCTGTCTCAAAAAACAAAAAAAGAGAAAGTGTATGTGTATAAGTACTTATGTATGTGTGTGGAGGCTGAAAGACATCACTGTCAATCCCAGAAATGCCATCTACCTTCCTTGAGACAGGGTCTCTTACTGGCTTGCAGCTCACCAAGTAGGGTGGGCTGGCTGGCCAGCAGGCCCGGGACTCTTCTTTCTCTGCCTTGCCGGTGCTGGGATTAGAACGGGCCACCATACTCAGTATGTTTACATGGGGGCTGGGAATTAAACTCAAATCCTTGTGTGTGCAAGGCAAGCAAGCACTTTATTAACCAAGCCATCCCCCTAGCACACTGTCCCTTCTGAAAGGGGACATTTTAAAAAAAGATTTATTTTACGTGTATGTGTCTGTGGGTATATCCACATGAGTATAGGTGCCTGAGGAGGCCAGAGGTGTCAGACCAGAGGTTACAGGGAGTCGTGAGGCACTTCACATAGGTTCAACACACATTACATCCCTGCTCCACACAGGCATCAGAGAGCCAGGGAGATGACTGAGACTCTGCTTCAGCAATTTTCCCAGTGGAATAAACAGGATGTTACCGGCTCCCTCTGGATGGCGATATCACATCCCCATTGTGGGGCAGAGAAGGGAGGAGTGGAGGTGGGGCAAGAGCCCGAGTCAGGCAGCATAGCAAGCTGGCCTGGAGGCTGGCTATGAGCTGTGTCTGTGTGTGGGTGGGGGACAGCAAGAGAGGCAGGAAGGCTGGAAAGCTCGTCCTGTCCCCAGGAACAGGAGGACATGCCCTATGTAAACGCTGCAACAGCATGGATAGGCAGTTGGAGAGGCAAGCATGGCAGGAGGCTAGAGAGTGCCCAGGGAGCTTCTGAGGACGGAGCCTCTGCTGGATGCGCAGCCCAGAGGTAAGTGGAGGTACCCAGTGAAAGGTGGGTCTTCTGGACAACAGTCACAGATGTGGGAAGTGTGCCAGCAGATTAGGCTAGCCAGGTGTCCCCAGGAGGTGGCCAAGCCAGGGGACCCGTCCCCAGGGCTAACCTGGATGCTCACTGGCTCAGCCACAAGCAGTCCCCAGGCCCCTCTCCTCACCTTCTCCTTGTGCAGGGCATTGTTTTCCAGCCCGTCCACCTGCAGGAGTTTCTTCGCCACCCCAATGCAGGGCAGCTCTGTAAGGACACCAAGGTGGCAGGCCACCCCGAACCCTGCCAGGAAGAACAGACAGACTGAGCTTGGTGGTAGGGATGCTACAGGAGACAAACTAGAATCTCCCATCTACAGACACAGACTCTGAGACCCAAGCTGACCCTAGCCCATGGACAAGGCCCTCTTCCCTGTCCTCACAGGTCTAAGGATGGGGTGGAGGAAGCCTCCTTCTGACAGGACGGGTAGTCTATTCATGTCCTCAGGGCCTTCCCCTTCCCTCCCCTTTGTTGCTTCTGTCCCTGTGGTCTAGGCCTCCTGCCAATGGCCTAGGTTGTAGTGGCTGGGGATACAAGCCCAGGAGTGGCCTGCTGGTCCCAGTACTGGTGTCAGATCAGTGTGTCTTCCCTCTGGCTCTGTACCTATGGTCCAGGCAGGCCCTTATCATTCCTGCCATCTAGAAAAGCTACCCCTCCATCAGGGCCCCTTGAGTGCCCACCCCTAGGCTTTCAAACAGCCATTTTCTCCAGGCCATGGGCCTGATATTCACAGGAACGAAGCCTCGGTGCCAGCTCAGGGCCCGTGTGATGAATGGAGCTAACTTGAGCTCCCTACAGCTGCCACGTTGACCTGGATGGGTCAGTGTGGGGGCCCTGTAGGAGGCAAGGGGGTGGGCAAGAAGAGGTGAAGAGGAGCTCTTTTCTGGTCGGGGCACCATACTGTCCTACAGCATCCTTTCTGACCCTCTCTGGGGAGAATTACCTCGCTGGTGGAGCACCCCGTTTCCATCCACAAGAAGGACCTACAGAGCCACAGAGGAGGCAGTCAGCTGGGCTGACCCTTGCTTCTCAGGCCAGGCTGTTTGTCATGCAGCAGGAGGAGCTCTTTTCTGGTCGGGGCACCATACTGTCCTACAGCATCCTTTCTGACCCTCTCTGGGGGAGAATTACCTCGCTGGTGGAGCACCCCGTTTCCATCCACAAGAAGGACCTACAGAGCCACAGAGGAGGCAGTCAGCTGGGCTGGCCCTTGCTTCTCAGGCCAGGCTGTTTCTGAGGCAGCAGGAAGGAGAGATAGCCACACAGGCCCTGCTCTTTGGACATTCCCATTCCCACTGTCTATGGGTGGCAGAGGCCTGCAAGGGCCCTTCTGTCTTCAGCCACAAGTAGAGGGGCCTGCCTGCCCTTGGGAGGCACTTGCCTGGGGCATGAGGCCTGGTTCCTTCTCCTGCAGACGCCGCACCAACTCCGTCAGGAAGGGTACTTCTCTGAAAGCCAGGAAGCCCGACACATAGGGGGCTGTCAGGCTGACCATGTGGCTGTCCTCATACACCACCTGCCAGCAAGACCCCCAGGTGCAGCTCAGATGTTGGGTGCAACCACTTGCTCCCAGCCCCACATCCTTCTGCTCACTGCTAACGTTTCTTTCTGCCAGACCCATAGCTCCCATGTCTGCCTTCCCTGTGGCCAGTGTGAGATCAGGGTTTGAAAGACAAGACAATTTGCACCTGGGTAGTGGGGACTCAACTCAAGTGTCTATGAGGACCCTTTGTCCTCGATCTGGTCTCAGGAGCTTGGCGGAGGTGATAGCAAGCTTCAGACTTACCTGCCCTTTGCCCTCCTGGCTCCTTCCTTGTCAGTGTGAGCTGTCTGCACAGGTGCTGGATGTTTAGAGAAGGCAAAGCATAGGAGCCCCTGGGCAAGTGCATGTAAACCCAGGCAGTGCTGTGTGTGCATTAGAAGGTCCTTGGGGGCAAGCCAGGCAGGTAGGTCAAGCTTCAGAAGAAACTTCCGAACATTCAAGAAAAGGACAGGCATATCCTCAGAGCCAGGCAAGCTGCAGGAACAGGGTCCCGAGGAATGGGAGAGCTCAGAAAGACAAATTCTGAGGCTGAATCAAGCACACCATGGTATGGACAGCAGGCCTTGTGCATACTGTGAGGAGGCGTGGTGGATACAGGGAACCAGATGGCTTTAAGGAGGGGCTGGGGACAACCCAGAGAGCTTTGTAAAGGGCAGCTACCTTTCTTAGGACTTCTCTGGTAAAAAGATGAGTTTGAAAACTAAAAGAATCCTACCAGCACAAGAGGGTGGTCAACATATACCTTTAATCCCAGCACCCAAGAGGCAGAGGCAGAGAGGCAGAAGCAGGAGGATCTCTGTGAGTTTAAGGCCAGCCTGGTCTATGTAGCAAGTTCCAAGTCAGCCAGCTACATAATGAGGCTCTCTGACTCAATAAATAAATAAATAAATAAATAAAATGGTGAGGCCAGTTAAAACCTGATTGAGCACTAAGGGGCTCTGGATGGGGCTCTACAGCACAGGGTGAGGAGCTCCTGACTATGGGTCTCCATCAACCTCACTGGCCTGACATGGAGACTCATTCCTATCGTGTCTATATTTTCCAGAACCCTCCATCCCCACTGCTGTTACTGAATCCAGCAGATCTCTTGGTGAGAATTTCCAAACTACAATTCCCATTTGCCCCAAAGGCTGGATCTGTATCTAAGCCCATGTGCAGAACTGACTATTTTCACACATGGGTCTGGGGCTTGGCCTCTTGACACTTTTACTAATGACTCAACTAAGAAACTTCTCAAAGCTGCCAAGGACCTAAGGTGGGGAGGGTCCTCTCTGGAGGCTGACAGGGGAACGTGACTCATAGCTGGCCCAGCCTATTGGACTGCTGAGGCCCCACACAAGAATACGTTCTAGCTGGACACATTTCAGCCTGTGTCCTCATAGATGACAGTAACTGCTCCAGTCAGAATCTCTCCACATAAGCTCCCCAAACCGGAGAGATCAATAAAAAAGGAAATTTCCACCTCTCATGCTGGCCATGAACTCATGTCCACAATGACATATGTTCCTAGGTGCCTGCATGAGGGAGACACAGCTTAGGCAGTGGAGTAGCTCAGAGAGCACGCTGGACAGAAGAGAGTAGCTCAGAGAGCACGCTGGACAGTAGAGGGTAAGGAAGGCGGCTGGATCTCTGTCAAAGTCATCTCAGAGACAGACAGCTGCAAAGTGACCAAAAAACACAGTCAGAGGCTGAAACAGTCAGGGGCCTGGGAGCACAGCTCTGGCATGTGTGAGGCCCTGGGCTCAAGGCCCTGGGTTCTATCTCCTAGCACCACAGAAAATAAAAAGACAAAATCAACTACATTTGATCTAAGAGCAAGTGTTTATCTTTCATTATATTTGCACATTTTCTATAAAAACAAAGAGAAAAATTAGTTGTGATGTAGTTCAGTGTTGAACACTCCTGAACAAGGCCAAAGGTTCCAACCCTAGCAGTGGGGGTTGGAGAGAGAGAGGGAGAGAGAGAATAATTTTTTGTGGGCAAGAGCTGGAGTCTGAGATCAGCAAGCTTCAATGTTAGCCAACACTGTGGCGTTCCCTAAAATTAAGTTGCACTTAGACAGCTGTTGTGTGGGGTTAGGTCCACCTGACTGCACTAGGGTAAACTGTAATTGCTAGGTTGTGTTCAGTTCCAGGTAGTAGGTATGAAGACAGATCCTGCTAACTGACAGCATCACTGGGGGCCACCAGCACGTGAGGAGCCATGTCACTGTGGCCTTTAGGACAGAGCAAACAGAAGGAGCCACAGGGATGTTTGCTAACAGAAGGGTGGGAACGAGTCCTTCCACGCTCTGCTGCCTGGACAGCACTGACAAGATACCAGGGAAGTCTCTTCCTGCGGAGAAGAGCACAATGACCACAGGCGGCTGACTACCGGGTAGGCTATACTGGAAGGCGATCACTTGTCTGGGTGCTGGGGAGGATTCCCAACTGCATAAAGGTGGACCAGAAACTGTCCAACCAAGCTTTGCCTCACAATCATGGGAAAAGGTACTGTGGGAGATGGCTTCCTCATTAAGTGGAGACCAGGGGAAGAAAAAAAATGTATTTAATATCTGTACTGAGATAAATTTTATAAAACGCATCTGTGAAGTGTATGACTCTGATTTTTGGTGTTTACAATTATCACCATAATTTAATTTTATTTAAAAATATTTTATTATTTATGCACGAGTGTACTACCTGCATGTATGTAAGTGCACCCATGTCATGAGGGCCCACAGAGACCAGACGTGTCAGATTTCCTGGAACTGGAGTTACAGACAGTTGTTACCCACTATGGGAGTAACTGAACCACAGTCCTCTGTAGGAGCAGCCAGTGCTCTTAACCGCTGAGTATCTCCCCAGACCCCATAATCTAATTTTCGAACATCTTCTCTGACCCTACAAATTAACTTCCTCCAAACCATGCTCAGCCCTGGTGTAATGAACAACCATCACCATAAACCTGACAGGACTTAGAATCACTTCAGAAACACACCTCTGGGAACATCTGTGAGAACATCTGTAGAGGTTTAACGGAAGAGGAAAGACCCATCCTAAATGTGGGGTCCAGGACTGAATAAAAGGCAAAAAAGGAGAAAGCCAGCTGGGCACCAACACTCCACTCGCTGCTGCCTGGTCCGCTGAGGCGTGAGCATCAGCCTCACGCTCCTGCCACCACGCTGTCCCCGCCACCACAGACTGCAACCGCAAACCCCGAGCAAAAGAATCTTTAGGCCGCTTTGTCACAGCAACAACAAAGGTAACGAACTTGCCTAGGTGAGCACAAACTTCTATTCTCTAGGAGTCTGCCTGTCTAAACTCTTACCATACTTCCAGGTGGCCCATAGTTGAGCATTGGGGGATCACTACGCGACCCCTTCCTGACCTAAGACTACAGCAAGAAGCAAATGCTAAGTGGAGACACAGGCGGTCTGCTCAGTGCTGCGGTCATAACAGAACTGTGGTACACAGTACCCTTGAGAACTCCAGTGCGGGGGACAGAGGGACTGTGCAGGGCAGCAGCGTTCATGCAGGTGAGGGCACTTGTGTGTGCGGTCCAAGAGAGCTGGAGGCAGATGGCACTCATTGCCCACTGTTTCATTAATACCACCGTCATTCTAGTTGCTTTTCTGGAGCTGTGATAAACGCTCTGACCGAGAGAAACGTAAGGAGGAAAGAGCTTATTTCATCTTACATTTCCAGGTCACGTTCATCACTGAGTTTATCACTCAGGAAGTTGGGGCAGGGGCTCCAGCAGGAGCTGCAGCAGAAACCACTGGAATGCTGCTTACTGGCTTGCTCAGCTGGCTTTCTTATACAGTGCAGGCCCACCTGCCTAGGAATTATGCTGTCCACAGTGCACTGGCCCCTCCTCGCCAAGGTCAAGCAAGATGATATCTCACAGAAATGGCCACAGACCAATCTGATGAAGGAAATTCATCAACCAGGTGATTATAAGTTGTATCAAGTTTACAATAAAAACTAACCAGAACAATAATCCTCCCCAGGTCAGAAGAGGCCCAAGGGGTAGAGTAGGGAATGGCAGAGCACATTTATTTACAGAAGCCACCCAGCTCTGGGGTCTCTGCCTACCCTCTCCCTGCATCATCCTACAGAACAGCCAGGGACCCCTAAGACAGAAGCCCTAGGTTCTTTTTACCACAAACCCAGTTCTCAGAAAAGTGGGCACTTAGCCCATTTGTGCTGAAGCAGAACTGAAAGGGGCCTTCTGGGTAAGGTGCAAAGTTAGTCAGAGTAGTGACGGGAAACGCCGAAGCTGGGATACAGCCAAGGCTTCCCGAGCTGCAATGAACCGTAGGCTTACTGCTCATTCACGGACATTTAGGGAGGATTTGTATGTATTCTACACATCAAGTCACAGTTCCAGGCATCACAGAATTTACACTTCTAAAGGGGAGGCAGGTCAATTCCATTCTTGTGTGTCAAAGGAGAGGTTCAGGGTTGCTATGGTCTGAATATTTTTGACCCTGAAATTCATATGCTGAAATTCTAACCTACAAGGTGATGGTATTAAGAGGTAGAGATCTGGGAGGTGACTAAATTACTCCAATGGAGACTTACCAGAACACACGGTGCTGACACCTTGTTCTTGGCCTTCTAGTTTTCAAAATCATGAGAAGTAACTCCTATTGTTTATAAGCCACCCAGCCTGAGGCATTCTGCTACATGAGCCCAAAGGGACCGAGAGAGGATGCTGAGAGGCAACTCCTGGTCTTCTGAAATGAAGGAGGCTCATCAGAGGAGGCAACTCGAAACTGGGCACTTCAGAGAGCCAGTGAGGTGAGGTCTACTCTGAGAGAGAAGACATGTCTACAGAGAAAGGCCACCAGAGGAATTCAAGCCATTCAGAATAGTGTTTGGGAAGGACTGAGGGTGGAGGTGGGTCAAACTAAGCAGAAACAGAACACAAAGGGCCTTTAAGCTACATGACAAGTACGAACTTTATTAATCACGAGAAAGTGGGACTCGCATCCAAATTTTGTTGTTGTTTTAATACAGGGTCTCATGTAGCCCAGGCTGGCCTCCAACTCTGGATTGTCCAGCCTCAACTTCACAAGTGCTGAATTACAGGTGTGTGTACCACCATGCCCAGCAGGAAGTGCTGTAAGAGGACCTGTGAACTGGATCACACTTGCTTTTTACAAAAACTGCCCTCTTATCCACAGAGGAGGAGAAACACTTGGGGAGGGGGAGCCTATGAGGACACAGATCAGTAGTCTACAGGGTGACAGTGGCTCACAGGTGCCAGGGACTGAGGGGAGGCAGAAAGCACAGAACTGGGAGGGATGGGTAGAATGATGTGTGTGTGTGTGTGTGTGTGTGTGTGTGTGAAAGAGAGAAAGAGAGAGAGAGAGAGAGAGAGAATAGGAGCCAGGTACAGCAATACACATGTATGAAAATAACACAGTGAGACAGCAAGAGAGAGTGAGAATGAGAGAGAGAGAGAAAGAGGAGCCAGGCACAGCAACATACATGTATGAAAACGGTGAAAGCCATTATTTTATATGTTGACTAAAATATTCAAAAATAAGAACTTTGAAAATAGAGCTAGTTGGGCTGGGTGTGGTGGCGCACGCCTTTAATCCCAGCACTCAGGAGGCAGAGGCAGGCGGATCTCTGTGAGTTCAAGGCCAGCCTGGTCTACATAGTGAGTTCAGGACAGCTGGGGCTACAGGAAGATCCTGTCTCAAAAAGACCAGAAAAAAGAAAGGGAGGGAGGGAGGGAGGGAGGGAAAGAAAGAAGAAAGAAAGAAAGAAAGAAAGAAAGAAAGAAAGAAAGAAAGAAAGAAAGGAAGGAAAAAGAAAAGAA